ATCAAGCGCGAGGTATGAGAAATATGGGAAACTAAATTGACAGGTCGCTACAGATAAAATCAGAGCACAGAAGGCGCTGAATTTGTTTGGGTCAAGGTGCAGGTTGTGAGATTATAAACCAATTTGTTTTTGTATAGTGCCACCAATGCTTTCCAGCGTTTTAATTTTAGTAAATTGGCTATAAGACTACTTTCAACACTGATATTCAATCCAATGTTTATTTGACTTAAAAAGTTTGAAAAAAAATGAGTTGCCTTAACTGGGATTTGAACTCCAAACCTCTCGCTTCCTAAGCGAGCGCGCATACCTTTTTTTTTTTTTTTTTTTTTTTAATGTATGGCATTTCCAAGTCATCCAGTAGCGATTCGAAACTAGTGATCTCCATGGCATTTCCAAGTCATCCAATAGCCAGGCGAAAGGGGATTACGTATCCGAAACTAGTGATCTCCATGGCATTTCCAAGTCATCCAGTAGCCAGGCGAAATGGGATTACTTATCCGAAACTAGTGATCTTCATGGCATTTCCAAGTCATCCAGTAGCCAAATAGTTGGAAGAGTATGTGAGGCCATTTGCAATAAGCTTAACAACATTACGATGCCAGACCACACTCAAGCAGCAATAAGCAAACAAAGGTTTATCAAATTGCCTGCTTCCCCAATGTAATAGGGTGCATTGATGGCACCCTTTTACCTATTATGGCACCACCAAGGGCAGAAGAACCCTTATTTGTATGCCGCAAAGGATATCGTGCAATAAATGTGCAAGCAGTATGTGATGAAAATATGAGGTAAATAAAACTAAAAAAATGTCTCACTGGGTCTTTCTAACATTGTACACATAATGTGTCTCGTAAAGCTGTTACTAGTGTATAATCTATCATGCAAATTTTATCATATTCTTAAAAATTCAAAAATATCTACTGTGCAGTTCTTTTTTCTACAGTGCATCAGTGCGCATGCCTTTAACTTGTACAGCTCTTAAATGGCTGTTCAAAGGCCAATGAACTCACACATATGACATTTATTTGATTAACTTAATACCAGTTACTCATTATTGTTTTATGGTTCATAAATGCGCAGTACACATGATTCATTTATATAAGCTAATTCAACACTGCAAGGCATATTTGAGTCAACATACAATGGCTGTTAGGGGACTCGGGCTACATATTGAAGAGATGGCTAATAACACCACTACAAAATGTGCAGACTTAACAAGAGAGACGTTTTAATGAAGCGCACATGGCAACAAGATGCCTAATTGAAAAGATGTGTGAAGTTGGCGGGCCAGCGGCCTGGCGGCGTGAAGTTGGCGGCCGGCGGCCCAGCGGCTGGCGGGATGAAGTTTGCGGCCGGGCGGCCCAGCGGCCTGACGGCCAAACATTTTAATGTTGCAGAAATGTTATTTAAACAATTAAACGGCATTTAATGAAGTTCTAAAGACATTTCTTAGTATTTAAAGGCTATGTAAAAAGAAAAAATCACTTTGATAATTATTTTATTTTATCATTTTTAGTGAAGTTGGCATGTTCGTGAAGTTGGCAGCCTAGCAGCCTGAAGTTGGCAGCCTAACAGCCTGAAGTTGGCAGCCTAACAGCCTGAAGTTGGCAGCCTAGCAGCCTAAAGAAGACTTAGAATAGTACAAACATTAAAACAGTCGGAAATACATTAGTGGCACTTCTTTAGATCATTCCGCGCCTTTTTTCAATATCGCGATCTTTATTTTTTAAGATGTTTATCATTTTGACACTTCGAAATTTGTGAAGTTAGCAGCCTATTATTGAAAAAAGGGTAAAAATGGGAAAATATATCTATACAGTATGGTAAAGAACGAAAGGGTGCATACAACTTTGGTTTTAATTTTACAATTGTTAAAAGTTTTTCTTGTCAAGTCATACGCTAGAATTAGGGTTACTAATGTAATAGTAAATGCTACTACTAGGAAAGACAACAGCCAGAATTTGGTTTGTCGTATCAAAATCTCTATCAGATGTTGACTTGAAAATTTGAAAGTGGTAAGGCAGCAGCTTAACTGTCAATGTTACTCATTCCTATGCAAATCGGAATACCCTTGGTAAAATTAATTTGTCGTTGAATATAGTCTTATCAATAGTTTTTACTTCCTTGAAAAATATTTAACCTCAGACAGTAAGTAACCTTGTGAGTTTTTTGTTTATTTTATTCTTTTTTAGATTCTTTTTCTAGGAAATGTGGTATCTACAACGTTTCAAAACATATATGCCTAATATTATCATTTTAAGTCCGCTGATGTTGATTGAATAAAAGCATAGAATGGCAATCATGCAAGTGAATTATGTTTGATGAATAACTAAACACCTTAAAGGTGTGGTTAACGGAAACTATGCCGGTGCGTGTTCTTGTTTCCTTCTTGTTGCTGACGGTAAATACCGAAAATGAGCGGATAAATACGTTTATTTACGATGATGTAGTGGGCGGGAAAATGGGCGCAGCTTATTTTATCTCCTATTAAAAAACGTGTTAAGCTGGATTATGCTGATCTGAATCATGATGGTTTGACAATGTAAAGCTTACAAAGTAACTTCTGTTTTGTCGGCGTATACACCAGTACACGAACAATGGGTATTCCACATGTTATGATGAACACTTGGTATTGCTACTATCAGAAAAACAGTTAATGTTTTGTCGTTTTACAAAATGTATTTGTTGAAATACATGTTTACAATGTTAAATCGACAAACTCAATCCAAGAATGCAACATTGGAGTTTACATACAAAGAAATACAATTGTATTTTGTCCGTAAACTGTTCGACTCCGGTCAACAAGGCTAGATTTTTGGCAACGAATAGCCTCCATATGTACAAGCCAATGAAATTCGTTGTTACAAAGTTAATTATACTGTCCAACAATTCTAATTATTGACCATATGTATTATTTAGTCCATAATGATTTTCATACCACATAAATATTTTAATAATATAAAAATATGTGCAATTTTTCCCTAATTATTGGCCATATATAATGTGAAATTAGGTGCTACCAATTGTGCAGATTAATGGTTCAAGCATAACATGTTTAGTGTACATGTAAACCAGATCTTTCTTGCACTTCGTGAATAAGTAATCTGTAAACAGAAACGGATAAATTAGTGGTGTTCAACCTATCATCGGAGTGCTCCGAATTTTTCCGGAAACCCCCGAACGCCTCACAGTGATTTGATTGCCTACGTTCTGTGTAGTGAAGCAAAGGGGGACCACTGTGTCAAAGTTTGGAAAATCCCATCCGCCATTTTGGTTAATCTCTGATTTCAATACGCGGAAAGTCCGAGCGTTCGGCCCCGCGAGGGCTGTAGCGCTCTTAGATAACATGTATGACGCGTATCAATTCATAAATTTAAAAAGTTACTTGAACATATCTTTTTTGATAAATAAGAACATTAAAAAATAACGTTAAAACAACAACTGTGATTTGAGATAAACAAAAATGGAGGACGGGATTTTCCAAACGGCGACGCATGCGCAGTGGCCCCCTTTACGTTCGGAGATTTTCGGAATATTCCGAGCGCTCCGATGATAGGTTGAACACCACCAATTTATTCGTTTTGTTTACGGTACAGAATACCTGCATCTGGTTTACATGTACACTAGACATGTTATGCGAAAATCATAATTCATAAGAGCTTTCCGCGTCATAGGTAGCACCTAATTTCATATTAAAAATGGTATGTAAAAGTAACTTATTATATTTTTCATCGTTACTTTATAGTTCTTATCAATGAAATGAATGTTTATTTTATCAATCTTTTACCGGAAGTGTTATTTGGCAAGCGTCTTCTATTAATAGTCTGAATTATATAGACGCTCAAAAGCGTCCTGATATCTATATTTAGCTCAAAAGGATTTCAAAATGGCGGCGCCCAGTTAACTAAGGATTTTTCTCCAACTCGTTAGATACATATTTTTATTGATTCTAATATGATTTTAATTTTATTTATTTACATCATACATGTTATCTAAGAGCGTATTATTTTATTGTCCACATACATTTTTTATTCTCAAATATTTTAGAGCATGAATATAATTTATTGAATTTTTTTATATATAATTTTGCAACACTCCACACGCCATACATCATTATCATTTTGTTATAATTTGTCAAGTTTGTTCGACTCTGTCTCTCTCATATCAATAACGAACCTTCATATATTTCATATTAACCTTTTGGTTAATAGAGTTACATTTCTGTAGAAATCATCATGAACATATACATGAAATTCTGTATAGGAACATTTTTTATTGTTTACATACCCAAAGTAAACTCTTGTTGTGATTTCAAACAAACGATGTTTTATATGAATGTTACTGTAGCTTGGATACGAGATAAAGTAAACATTTCTATCTCCTGTACAAATATCAATATGATACACAACGTTCTGTATTCATTTATGTATATTACCTTGATATACAACTGTTTATTATCATTTCCGTCCACTTATTGAAGATTTACACAGTACATGAAAATAGAATGGCAAAATCATGTAAATCAGACATAAATACTCCTAGGAAAGACAAAACGGATTTGTATGGGAAGTTTAAAGACATAAATATGCATGTTTAAGACATTGAAGTAATTAAGAAAATCATCCTTATTTAATGAAGCTCTAGTCTCCTTTGAAGTTCAAGAATATCTGATATTTTTGTTTGAAAGTTCCTTTAAAACAAAATTTTAGTAAAATGTTAGACTATTCAGACAATTACAAGGTGGAATAAGTTTGAAATGATGTTCAGCAAGCACTATATGCTATGATGTTCTGAATAATAATGATGATGACGACGACGATGACGTTTCCGATTACAGTGAAAAATAATAAGCCAACTTTCTTAAAAGTAATTGTTTTTAGAGGCAAAACAGAAGAAAACATTGTACTTCAATTAAGTATTGCATTAGCTTTTAACTTAACCTAATTTCAAAGTTTCTTTACATTTAACAAGGTCTCTATTGATCTACTTGTACTAACTTCAACGCCTGTTATCACGAGTGTTTGTAAAAGCTGCGACCTAATTAACCACAGTGATAATAAAATGCAAACCATTCTGTTTTATTTCTATGATCGGAGCAAGTTAGAAATATGACTTCTTTTGACGATATTCTAAAGGAAATAGGAGAATTCGGACCTTACCAAAAGCGCGTGTATGCCATGTTGTGTTTACCAAGCTTTATCTTGTCCGCACTCCTTGTTGTTCAGGTGTTTCTTTTAGGAACTCCTAATCACAGGTAAATATGTAATGGACAATTTGATAATAGTTAATCATAACATATATCAAAGCACAAAGTTTAATTATAACTAATGTTAGTTCTTTATGTTATTATAAAACATTTTGTGGCATGGTGTTTTTCTTGCAGGTGCAAACTTCCTGAATATGCAAATGATAGTTTTGAGATTCAAGGACCAACTCACGAAAGGTATATTCAAGGCTGGATTCCCTTGTCGGATGGTGATAAATATGACAACTGTCATATTTTTATACATAATCATACAGCCGACTCTTTTGCAGAAAAAATAACATGTTCAGAATGGGTGTACGATGAGTCTGTATACAAACACACATTTTCAAAACAGGTAAACACTTTTCAAGCATACATTTCCAAAAAAGGTAGACACTTTTCAAGGATGCATTTTCAAAAAAGGTAGACAGTCTTCAAGCATATATTTTCAGATTTTTTTAATTATTGTTAGTCGTTACTTTGTTTCAATTTTTCTGTCGTTTAAGATATTTATAAAGGATACGGTCACGGCCGTCGAGTGCCGGGGGGGGGGGGGGGACACAAACTAAACTTATATGAACGATTTGATAAACAACTTCTCAGTTTATTCAACATTGATCGTACGTTTATTAAATTCTTTATATGACTTTAAACGCTCAAAAAGGCGTAAAAAGCGAAAAAGGCGTAATGATGCAAAACGAATGACGTAATAACGCGAATAAAGGCGTAATGACACAAAAATAGCGTTATAACGTGAAATAAAAGGCCTTATATCGCAAAACGGAAAATTCATTTACTATAGCTATATATTTGTAAAATCAATGATATATGTATGATGTATGTAATTTGCACCCGGCCCAATGAACCTTTAATTAAGACACCATTTAGTCATCATTAGTGTATGACAAACAGTATATATACTTACTGCGTAAATGGAATGATAGTTATTGTAAATGAAATTCATATGATTACATATATACAAATACATTCTCCTCAAACAAAAATAGGTGCCAAAACATTTCTCAAAGACACTATGAATTGTAAAACGGCAAATGTTATTTACCTTGTTTCTTGCAAAGTGTGCAACAAACAATATGTCTTCCATTAAGTAACGAACGAACTGAATTACTACACTCTGCCTGGAGAACACGAAAATCTAACAGATCCCCAGTTGCTGAACATTTTCAACTTGAGGGACACAGTTTTAAGACTGTTAATTCGAACACAACCCGCAGTGGTCAGATATAATACGAAAATCACGTTCGCCGACTGAATACGCTTAATTAAGCCATCAGGAATCAATAAAGGAGACAATAATTATAACACGAATTCACGCCTATATTCGACAATCTGTTTTAAACCTTCCTTTTGCAAATGTCCACTTTATAAAATATCCCACTGGTTATACTTTTAGTAAATAAACACAAAACGCCTTTACACCGTACCTTTATACAAGTAGTTTAATTTTTAATTTTTGTTTAAAACTTTTAAAATTCTTAAGATTCAATATTTAATCTACTTTATACCACATTGTCCGCTGACAATTGATAGATCCCTACTCTGACCTTTTCTTTGAATAACAATAGATTTAAAACAAACATTGACATGTGCTCTTTTGTGTGGTGAAATTGTTATTGTATCCACTAATCTGATTATGAGAATTAAGTAGGTAAGGGATCTATGCATGACTATTCAAAAAGGGTCTTTTCATTATCGATATAATTGTATCTCCTTTCTAGCGACCGTGTGGTGCAGTTCAAATTTTGATACCATACACACAGTATATAAACAAAATCACTGTAACCCTGCCTTTTGGGGGCCTTCGTGGCCGAGTGGTTAAGGTTGCTGACTTGAGATCACAGGTCCCTCACCGCTGTAGGTTCGATCCTCACTCGTGTCGAAATCTTTCATGTGAGGAAGCCATCCAGCTGGCTTACGGAAGGTCGGTGGTTCTACCCAGGTGCCCGCTCGTGTCTGAAATAATGCCCGGAGGGGCACCTGGGGTCTTCCTCACCCAATAAAAGCTGGAAAAAAATCGACGACAAAACTCTCGGCGGGACGCTCTAGGATGGCCCGACTTGTGTACGGTCGCCCATATGGGCTTTCCGGCGGCGACCTTAAATAAACGCATTAAAAAAAACCTGTCTTGCGACAACCGCATAGCTCAATCGGTTAGAGCGCGAGACTTGTAATCTCGAAATTGTGGGTTCGATTCCCGGGCTAGCCAACTAAAATTACAAATCAGTCTTTCGGATGAGACTTTAAATCGAGGTCCCGTGTATGGGTGCTTAAACACTTGGCACGCTGAAGAACCAGGAGAAGCTTCTGGAATTGGGGCATCTTTCTGTATCTGTAATTGCACTATCCTCCAAAAAATAAAATGACTAATACTCTTCTGGAGGACTCGCCCATATGGGCAACCGGTGGCGAGTATTTATAATAAACGCAAATACACACCTGTCTTGCGAGCCTATACAATTCAATATGTACCCTGTCTTGCGAGTTCAAGCACATGTTACTTCCGATCAAAGAGCCTATATATTTTAACTTGTATCTTTCTTGCGAGCACAAGAAGCAGACTGGTTTTATACTGTGATCCTGTGCACACATATAGAGATTGTGTGCTCTATTTTGTGCACATTATACCTGTAATACACACCTGAAGAAGGCATACCCCAAAAGTACTTGGGGTATTTACACTTTAGCACTTTATGAATGTTTATTTCTCCCAATTTATTGCTTTTTTATCTACATTCTTGTATCCTTCTTGGGATCCAGTGTTTTTGAAAGATATTTTGTAGATGCAACATATATATTGTGGTATCATCAGCAATTCATTCAGATCAATATTGTTCTTCCTTCCTCAAACGTCAAACGTCTGTAAAGCGTTTATGACTGAATTAAAGATTAGTTTTCGGATTTATTTTCATAGACCAATTTTGTAGAGTCAGTGTATGTGCGTCCATGCGTGCGTCCGTCCGTTCGGATTTGCCCGGTCTGTAACTTGGTCATTCCTCCTGGAAGGATAACAAAACTTTTTTTGTACAAATGTTCACCTTGGTGGGGGGAGGGTGTCGCACACAAAACTCAGGTCCGCCGCTTACTTAGGGGTTAGCGCAAAACCTGTGTCCGGGTCGTAACTTCCACATGTATGGAGGGATTTTTATATAACTCGGGACAAATGTTCTCCATAGTGAGGCGGAGAGTCGCACGAAATATTCAGTTGCCTGTGGTGAAGGTCAAGGTCACACTTATGCTTTGAAGTATTATGCTTAGTGGTCAGAAGATTATTGTTGAACCCCCTTGCGCTGAGCTTAACATAGTTTTCAAACTGGCTGTTCTGTGTGTGTGTGTGTGTGTGTGTGTTGGTGCGTGCGTGCGCGTGTGTGTGTGAGAGCACAGACAGCCGGTGCGTGGCTTGGATAGTATACATGTACATGACTACGCCCACATATTTTTATGTTTACTATAAATAATTATAGTAAAGGTAGAAAGGTTCGCCAGTCTGTGTGCATGCGTGCATCTAAACGTGTCAACGCCATAACTGCTTTGTGCATGGAGTGGGCAATTTTCAAATAACATGAACTGAGTTTTAGGCACAAATGTCCACCATGAGACTTTGTGTCATGCACATGAACCAGGTCACCGGGACAGAGGTCAAGGTCAAGATGATGCATTGTCAAGATCTTGCACTGGGTATATAGAGGATGTGTTGCGTACATCTCACCTATGTACATCTTTCTCCTTGATTTGAAGCTTATAGGTTCAGGTTTGAATTAAGACGAGCGGGCTTGACATTCTGCCCGTAGGTATATCTTACTTTTATTTGCGTTATTACGCCATTCGTTTCACGTCATTACGCCTTTATTCGCGTTATTACGTTTTTTGTTCCTTTAATTCGCATTATGAAGCCTTGTTTCTTATAAAGCGGTAGCTAGTTAGTCTAGAATGTACAGAGTGTTTAACAATAATAGTTATATACAATCAAGTTTATCATTTGTGGACACAGTTCAGGAAAACAGCACATGAAATAATCTTTATAGGGACTTACTGGATTTTACATTTGTTTTTGCCGCGCTTTAGATATTTACATGTCTAAAAGCAGACCATGTACATATGTATATATGTTCAGGAACTGGGAGTACGGACGTCGGACATGTGTCCTTAAATGTTATAATCTGCCAAAATGTGACTTATAAATTTTGAATTCTGTAATTCACTGAATGATACGGTGTTCCGTTTGGACACGTTTGGACAATCGTGACATTTTATTTATTCTGTACCCGCGATGCACGATGGTACGATGGTGAAAACGCGATGGCACGATGGTACGATGGTGAAAACACGATGGTACGATGGTGAAATCACGATGGTACGATGGTGAAATCGCGATGGCGCGATAGTACGATGGTGATAACGCGATGTTACATCGCGTTTTCACCATCGTACCATCGTGATTTCACCATCGTACCATCGCGTTTTCACCATCGTACCATCGCACCATCGCGCTATCGTGTTTTCACCATCGTGCCATCGCGATTTCACCATCGTACCATCGCGATTTCACCATCGTACCATCGCGATTTCACCATCGTACCATCGCGTTTTCACCATCGTACCATCGCGTTTTCACCATCGTGCCATCGCCTTCCGGTGGACATGCGCATTGTACATCTTTATCAACAATGGATGAATGCATAACTATGTATTATGCGAGAGGCTATACGTATCGAGACATTTTAAATATAGTGAGGCTTAAAACGGGATTTGATCTCAGCACAGACTATTTAATAAGTGTTGTGTATTAAGATTCAATCATTATAAAACCTTTATGCACTGTGCTTAATTCATCTTGTCTAGATATCTATAACACAAATTTTTTGAGGTTTTATATCATAAATATGATGCTCAAATTAAGATAAGTTCCAAAAAGCATTATTTGTAAAGATGTTACCGAATTTAATATTTCATGTAAATAAAGGGAGGTAATAAAAATTTATTTTCTGTTAAGTCTAAATCAAATTTTTTTTAATAAGAAATGAATGCATATATTTTAATGATTACATATAATATGTATTAATATTTGCAGTACATATTTGACATATTCTCGATGTTTGAAACTTGTTTTATATTAAAGCATTATTATATAAATATATATAATTTCACTGAAGTGTGGGGTTAGCTCAACAGGTACAGCGTTGGACTGTGAATCGGGCGATCGGGTTGGATTCCCCCGACGGGTGCAGGTCACTTTCGTTGTGATTGATCATGAAATCCTATCTACGGTCATTGACACTGGTCTCTGCTCTGCAGAAGTTTCAGTTTCTTGTGAAAGTGAAGGCAACTAGTACTGGT